ATTCCTTGAAGGACTTTCCACAGAACAACTTTTGCAGGCAGGGAATTATACAATCTACTGTCCGAGTCTGATCCTTCACAACTGTCCACGCGGTTTTTCACATGGTCTGTGGAGCAATGTCCAACTGTCCATTTTTGTACAGTGGTGGTTTTTCACACGGTCTGTGGAGAAACGTCCGACTGTCCATTTTCGTATAGTGGCGGTTTTTCACACGATCTGTGGAGCGATGTACAACTGTCCATTTTTGTACAGTGGACAGTAGTGGAGCAAGGCCCATACTTTCGAAACATTCCTTCTTTGAAAGCCTACTTTCAAACACACCACCACGACGACAAAAAAAATGGTGGCCCTCAGGGTAGAGACCCTGACAGATGTCAAGAAGGCCCTTTCCACAAGACTCGACAGCGGCTTTTGAGAATCCAGCGTTTGACAGGCGGGAGGGGCGCACCACTTCGAAAGGCCTTTCGAGGCCAGGTTCACTCACACCTTTCGACACACTTTCACCGACCCTGGATTCGAAAGGCTGTGTGGCGAGCCCCTTTTTCTTTTCTATTTTCTATTTGATTTGGACCATTTCTCTATTTATGTGTGTCATCCTTGCTGATCACCATGGAATGGTTGGTTATCATCACTTGGGCTCTGTGCATGCTTATCTTTTGGACCATTTCTCAATTTATGCTTGTCATCCTTGCACCTGGGCCATGCAAATCTTCGCTGTATCGTTCCAATTTTAACGGATGCTTATGCTTACCTTTGGCTGAGAGTTCTTCGAATCATTGTCGACGTTTCTAATGGGACTCTTCGCTACAGTAGCCATTGCGAAATGTAAACGCGATAATAATAATAGGAGATGCAGACAGCATAGAAAAGATTACTCCTAATGGCAATTCTTCCTACCCGCCTATGTCTCATCCCTTCGTAGTTTTAGTATCAGCTTCGCGACCCGTGTTACACACTACTTTGCTAATCTTCCCTGGATGCCCGGAGGACACGCCCACTCTTGTAACACTACTTTGCTAATCTTCCCTGGATGCCCGGAGGACACGCCCACTCTTGCCTTCAGCCATTGTCCACCCAAACAAAACAAAAAAGAAACAAAAGAAGAACCCAGTTTGCAGCCCGTGGGCTGCGCTATACCTCGTCGAATTGACGTAGGAATGAACGTTCTCTCTGCACCGACTGGTCGCCATATGGGCGGGAAGGTAGTTGGGACGGTTGCCGAAATTGAAGAGGGAATGTGGTCGCTGCCAAAAACCGGAGGGCGCGGTTCATTTTTTTCTTGGTGTGAGTGCCCCGACTGGTCCTTGGGCAGGTGGGTCTAGTGGGGCAGATTACACGTTTGGCCATTACACTTTTGGAGTGACGCCCAGACTACATGCATCTGGTTACTCTATAGACCCGATA